TCAAATGAAGATTTAATGAAATAAACATTGAATTTGTCGTCAAATGTATGTTTAAGGGAGAAAACCTGTCTTTTAGTGTTTAATTAATTGCCTGTAATTTCCAGACTTTTGTAACATTGCATTAAAGCATTGTTTTAAATGCATTCTTGTTTAATATAAGAAGTTTTAAAATAATTTATATAATAATTCAAACTTATTTGCCAATATGCGATTGTAATTAAATGTATGAAACTTACTAAGAATAGCTAATCATACTACAACTACGGTATATTGAAATAAGTTATGTTATTGTCAATAACTTATTGACTAGAATTTATATACCAGTATTCTTAAGAAAAACTACTTTTCAATTGACTGCCTGTTTATAGAGAAACAAAACTTGTAAACTGATAGCAAAGATGAAAGAATGCAAAAATATACGGTTAAACCAATTTGCAAGTCATATAAATATTTATGTTAAAAGTTGTCAAAAGTAAACAACTGCTAAAGAATTGAGAGTATTTTTAATATAATTATTCCAAGAAATCTAAACTGAATAACAAATGAATTATCATACTGTAATACTGTAACCAAATAAATGCTTTAATATTTAATTTGATAGCATTTAGCATTTGTTGACCTTTTGGTAATTAATGGCGAATAATTATTCCGCATAACTTACTTGACAGTATAATACAAGTACTTACGTAAAACAATTAGTATAATGTATTACCGGTGATATTTACAAATAAACCTTTTACACCAATTAAATACTGGAATTTTTCATAAAAAAATATATTGAGAAAAAAATTATAAATTCGTTGTGGACTTGAAGCTATGAAACTATATTGACATTTATTAATTGATTGAATGGCTAGCGATAACTGAATTGGGATAAAACGAAACAAATACTGTATTCACAAATACTATATATTACAACATGTGTTGCCGTGACTTGAGGTCGTAATGGTGAGGCTGTGCCACCAATTCAGACGGCATAAGAATTGGCAGTGATTTAGACAAACGAATGAATGAATGAGCGCATCATTTAAGTGCTTATTGGTCGACAATTTAAATAAAAAGCGTTCAATTAATAAAATGAGTTTCAATTTACTATCAAATCAGTTTAAATAAAGTCGATTCGCAATACTTTGGCTTAAATTTAGTTTAGTTTTAGACTATATATACTTAAATATTATAATAACATAAAATTTAAATCAAGATTTCATATCAATGGTTGAATTAATTAATACATAACTTATTGTATATAATAAGAGTTTAGGTCTGTTTTGGGTGTTCACTGGTATTACTTATATTCTCAGCAAATATTTGTTGTTTTGTTTGGAATAATAGTAGCGTTTGTTTTATACAATATTTGCATAACTAATACATAAAATATTTGAATCAATGATAGAAACATCAAATCGGTATGAGTTGACAGTAATTTATAAATTAATCGCTTGTCTTACGCGGCATCTCATCGCTTGTGCTTTAATTATAATATCAATAATTAAGTTATGAATCGATCCCATCGTAAGACATGCGACAGTGATTGACAGACATTTCCGATGAAGTCTTAATGCAATTGAATGTGAATTAATGAACAAATAATTTGATGTCATTTACAAAAAACTGTTGACAATTGTCTGATCGATAAATATATGTATATTTGATTGCAGTTTGTTTCACATAAACACGAGATCTTCAAGAATCACTTTAAACATAGTTTTTGAGGGATTTGTTTGTAAAATAGTTTAAGACTTGTTTCCAAAATAAATCGTATGAAAAGGTGGGCTAACTCTTGCGGACCAGTCGTCTCATTGATTATCCACTGGTTTAGAAGGCATTCATTTCAATAATAAGTTCACTTCACATCAAACAAGTTGTAGAGCACAGGGAAGAACTACTGGTGCAAGAAGTTGTTGGTTAGAGTCTATCAGTTCTAACTCTTTTTCATGGCTTTCATTCACTCAATACTCTAATAATTGTAATAAACCTAACGTCTCACAAAGTCTTAAGACTGTTTAATCCGTTTACGGGGCGGACCTATTGGAGGCATTTGTTGTGTGGCCAACGCTCTAAACGCTTCTGCTATGAGATGGGGCTGTCTGTTGATCATTGTCTTCCAGCCCTGGGTTTCCATTATGTCTGTGGCGTGTCTGCAACCATACAACACATCGTTACACAACCAGTACATCGTTAACATGACAATCATTCATGGCTTACGTATTGATGTATTCAATGGCGTGTGCTTTCAATTGGTTGGCGCTGTGCATGTCTGCCAGTATCAGCACCTCTGCCGCCGTCTCCACCGATAAGTTGGAACAGAGAGACTCTTCACACATCACTTTCAGTCGTTCCAAATCGTACTATCAGTCAACAAATGAGACACACAATCAGATCATGCACTCAATGGCACACAAATGACAAATGATGGCTCACTTTGTCAGCGGCCGCCAGTAAGTCGGCGTCCATTTTCTCTAAATTGGTCGCTTTGCCGGTGTATATGAATCGCAGCATTTCTCTGAGCACTTCGTGGTCCATGTCTGTGATCTCCACTTTGTTCTGCTTCTTCTCCTCCATCTCGTGTTCAAACATAGCGGCGAAGACTGGAGATCGGGCCGCGAGAATGGCTTTGTGTGCATAATATTCGCGTCCGTTTACCACTAGTAAAACATCACTAAATTTTTGGCTCTCGAATAGAATACTCAGATCATCGGAGAGACGACACTCCGGAACCTTAAACTGTATTGAATTGTTTTGACCCGATATGTTGACTGAATCGGCCACTACACTCACCTACCCGTCCACAAACACAACCATACAATCAGTCATCAAATTCATGACAATATATATATAATCAACACTTACTTCACAATAGAGAGTGAGTTTGTCGTCGGGAAGCAAACCGTTCGCCTCATCCAATAGGAAATCCCTTCTAATAAACTTCTTGAAGCCCCAGTCCTTTCCCTGTACGAACCGGTAGGCTCTCTGGCTCTCTGTGATATCAATAGCAACAG